TTATGCAACCAACCAAAACAAAGTGACTAATCTCAGCAAAAAAATTGTACAAAAGGAGAAAGAAATATAAGTAACTTTAAGTTTATATGATGAAAAATATAGAAATTTTTCCATCTCAAAATCTTGAAGATTCTTGCAAAAGATCAATTAACATAACTCACAATTATTTTTAAAAGAGGTGTTATTTTCAATTGCATGAATTCCAATACAATGCAACACAAACTCTTATTTCAGTGTTGAAGAGTCTTTTAATTGCTGCCGAAATTTATTAGAATGTCAAATGGATGTTGTAAATAGTTGAACACTCTCACCTACTTTTCCAGTGCTGAGGGCTCAGGAAAAAGGTTATTTCTAACTAGGTAAGCATGCAGAAAATATAATAGTACATTAATGAGGTAAGATTTAGAAATAAAAAAGAATGATCAACAGATAAAACTGTAGTTACAAGATGGTTATAAACTTTGGAGCCACTGCAGAAGACCTTAAGTAAGACTTAATAACTACACATTAGGCAAATGAACCCGCATATGCCAAAGACTGAAACTGTGGAAGGGCCTTACATACTTAAGGGATGATGAGAAGCTTAGTGCTGCAGGAAAGCAAGTCTTGCTGTGGAAGCTGAAAAAATACTATGGGGTGAAACTGTGAAGAAATTTATAAGCCAAATTAAAGAGTCTGTATTTTATTCTGTAAGTATCAAAGAGTCAAAAGAAGTTCTTGAGTAAGAAAGTAACAAAATGTTTACTTTTTTAAAAGAAGAAAACTCTTATAACAATGTTGGGCAGAAGTTGAAGAGAAACTAGTAAAATGAAGATCAGTTTATTACAATATTCTCAAAAAGAGATGACAAGGGTTTGAAATAATGCTGAAGTATTATGAATAAAGAAAAGAGGATTAATTTAAAGCTCATTTTTGATGTAGAATCAACAAGATTTGATGAATGTCTACATAGGGATTGAATTTTTGGTAAATTCAGTAAAAAAGAAGGAAGTTAAGAATAAACACTAAGGGTTTCTAGTTTAGGAGACTGGGTAGATAGTGATGCCATTAGTGAAAATTGAGAATAAGGGGTGGTTTACAGTTTTAAGCATCTGCATATACACTGTCATATTTAAGATGATAGCTGTGTTATAAATGACCATTATTGCTCTGCTGAAAGGTTAATCACATATGCAAATATGTACAATATCAGTTTTCTGAATTATTTCCTATCTGGTGCTTATCATTGATTAAAAAGTGCTATTTATGTTATTTATAGCCATATTTATTTTAAATATTTTTAGTAAGTGATGATGTTTTCCTCTCTGCTGTATTTGGCTTAAATATTTTTGTTAGTGGTTCTTATTAACTTTATTATCTTTCATTCTGAAACAAAGTTTTAGGCTTAGCATATTAATTCATTTCTCACATGATTGATTAAAAGAAGTAAAAGAGAAAAACTGCAGTGTCACATTTCTGGTCCTACCATGAAACTTAAATGATGTTAAAAACACTAATAT